AACTGTAAAGGAATACAGTTACTCATATCTTGTATTTTAAATACGTAACGGCGGTACATGTATTCCGTTACTCCCCAACACTGCATATGAACATATGAATGACTTCTGGCTTTGCGGGAACTTCATGAGTTCCCCTAAAAGCCCATACCACCTATGTATCTAGTCATCTACACCCGCCCTGCTGGGCTGGCCAGTTGCAATGCATGACTATAGTACTTTGAGGACGAAACAGCCCAGAGAGCATGAAAAACAGTGGATGAGTCAAGGCACATCAGCGTCACTGAATGCCTCCATGCCAAATATGACTTCTTTCAGGCTAAATCAAAAGCACAAATATCCTCTTTTATATGTACTGTAAATCCTTGGTTCCAAATTAATCAGGAAATGTTTTAATGCAGTTTCTTTTTAACAGTAGCAGTTGCTTTGAGTAGTTTTGCCTTTAGTAAGTAATTAGAACAGATAAAGGGGTGTAATTTGTGCAAACATCTTTACAAAAACATAGTCTGTTATAAACAGACTGTTATAAACAGACTTTGCAGAGGCAATATCTTGATGAAATTGCCTCTGCAAAGTCTGTGTCTGGGTTATTGGCTTCTAGGAACAGAAGAAGCAAACAGGTTTCTTATAAGTCATTAAAATCCCTGTTAGATAAGTGTGATATTACTTTTGTGACCTAATATTCAATGACTATTCCTTGAATACATGAACATAATTCTCTCTTCTCTGTTTCCCCTTAGCTTTTGACCCCCAGTTTTTTGATCTTGCAAGTGTGCGTGAATTCAGAGTAACAGAAACAATACCAACAACCACCACCGCAACCACCACACAACCACCTGAAGGTAAGTCACATATACCCTCAGTTATTTCACAATAATGTCACCTTCCTCTGGACTGATTCTCAGAAGCAATCAATGCTCAAAGTTTAAAAGAATTGTTTTTTATGTAGGTTTGGTAAGACTGGTGGGTGGCCAGCACCGGTGTGAGGGTCGAGTGGAAATGTACTTGAATTCAGGATGGGGCACAGTGTGCGATGATGCCTGGGACCTCCCAGATGCCCAGGTGGTGTGCCGTCAAGTGGGCTGCGGTGAAGCCATAGCAGCTCGGGGAGAAGCTTACTTTGGGCCCGGCACGGGAACAATCCTGCTAGACAACCTCAAGTGCAGAGGTACTGAGAGATCCCTGCAGAGCTGCTCCCATATATCCTGGAATGTACACAACTGCGACCACTCTGAAGATGCTGGTGTCACCTGCTCGCCATCATGATTTCAGCAGAACCGCACTCCCACCAACATGTGTTAGGATGTGGGTGTACCGTCCTCGGACTTGTGTACATTATGTAAATAACAGCTGACACATTGCTGAAGTAATATTCTACCATCACCAACATAAATAACAGTTAATATGCCATTCCATGATTATATTCTATAACTATATAAGCCTATTAAGCACTTTATAAATATATTATGTAAAACAAAATGTACACAGTTGTTTGATAAATGAAGAAAAGTAAAGCTTTTAACTGTCTGTCTTTCTGTTTTTGTTAAAATATATACTGTACATGTTATTTTTCACTTAAGGAATATACTTGAGGAAGTCTGTGGATTAAAGCTATTTTTACAGAACAACCTCTGCTCCACAATCCACAAATATGTATGATATAACATAAATGACACTGTATACTATAATCTATAACACTGAAATACACATAAATAAATGTGGTATAGCTTGTATATACATGAAATAACTGTGCTTTTATTCCATAATTATATATATACATGACAAAACAAATG